TGCCACATGCATGGTTCAGTACAGGCCGTTCCTGTGCTATGCTTAGTACTTCCAAAAGCAAGTACTAAAGCATGGGTCCATAGTAACATTGCTACATGCTGATGTGTAGATACGCCCGTAGTACCCATAGACTTAGTTCATTCAGAATTAAGGGATTTCACTTTCTTTGAAACTGCTGCAAGTTTTAGCACAGGTACTGCATAAACATGCTTTTAAGCAGCACTTTTGTACCTATTTATATATAGTACAAACTATGCATGATATTGATCCAAAACCCAAAGGCTTATGATTTACTATATAGTTCAATGGGCTGGGCTCCAGGAGATTCAACAGCGTTTCAAGCCATGGTGATGCCACAGCTCAACACTGCTCAGTATGTGTGTGTACTCCAGATACCCTGCTTCTGTGCCTTTCCCCCCCACCCCCAATCATATGTGACAGTCTGAGAGAGGGGGCAACAGAGGGATTCTGGGTGAACTGTTTGGGGTCCCATTTTGTGATGTTTACCAGGCATTTAAGGTTTGTGAAAAAACAGGAATATTGGAAATGGGAAAGAAAGACACAGATCAACTGTGGGAGTGAAGAGGAAGTAAAAATGTATGCAGTGTAGTAGCTCTCCATGACTTGAATAGGAGTTGGCACTGAGGGGGACTGTACACAATGGCTGCTACTATATTTCTTGTCCAGATTAGCTGTCCTGATTAATAGATTAGCCTATCTGTTTGGTAAGCTCCAGTCAGCATTTTTATCCAGTGTGGGCCATGTGTTTTGTAGTCTTATTCAAGTTTGGCTGTATTTCACCAAATTCATAATTATCTTTCATTATTAAGCATCTGCTGTTTTTAGCAGTACTTTAATGATAGATAATATATTTAATGAGGCTTCCTTGTATGTGAATGTAAGATGAGCTGCTTTTTTCCCCATGCTGATTGCAGGGCCTTGTATTATATTTGAGTAAATACAGTATTTTGTTTTCAGAACTGAAGGAAGATGTTTTACCATACTGAAAAGCTGTTAAAAAAAATCTAATAGTAATAAAAGTACTTTACAATTATCTCAAATTAATGAGTAGATACAAGGTTTTTGGTATTCCAAAAGATTCTACTCTCAACTTTTAATGAAACTGACAGAGCACCTTGCAGAATCAGGCCTTTATAAGGCTTGTGTATTACTGGATTTTGTATAACCTTTTGTGCATGTTGTAAAATTGATGTCCAATTGGACACATTTTTGTATTATATTTGTTACCCATTTCTAATCTTGAAAGCACTTAGTACTCAATTTAACTTATACCTCTGATACCAAGAGGACTCATCTCATTCCTTTTATAAATACATCTTAGGCAATGTTTTCAGATGCTGTTTATGGAAAAAATTGTACTTTCTTGAATAAACACAGTAATACCCTAAACCCAACTTGCAAGATGTTGGCATGCCAGGGGCGGATAGCAGAGGAGCACCAATGGGCCCGATTGCTGTTGTGACAGCACAGCTCTGGCCCTTTTTCTGCCATCCACCCTGAGGTGCTCATGCCAAACAGAATGCCTTCACGTGCCATGCTCTGGCGCCAGTGCTGGGGGTTGCCTACCTTTGTTCTATAGCAGGGGCAGGCAATTATTTGGGGTGGAGGGCCGCTTACTGAGTTTTGGAAAGCCATTGAGAGCTGCAGGACGGGCAGCTGGGGCAGATAACTATTAATTTTCTAAATTTTTTAGGGGCCCTGCGGGCCAGATAGAATGGCTCAGTGGGTTGCATCTGGTCTGTGGGCTGCATTTTGCCCACCCCTGTTCTATAGCCTTTCTGCTTTTACAGTGGAACACTTAGTACCCACAGAAATAGTTAGTATATTGTTAAGAGCAATGTAGCAGACTGCATGTCTCAGAAGCTGCAGCCCAGCTGCAGGTGGTAAGGAAAGATTGCATGTTTGCCTAGGAGGACTGGGGCGGATGATGAGGATAATTGGCTGAGTAAGAGGCACCCAGGAAGAGGACCTGGAGAAGAGAGAGTGAGAGAGAGAGAAAGCTATGAGGCAGAAACTGCAGCATGGAGCCAGAGCACTTTCTACAGGTCCAGGAAAAGACTGCAGGGTGCCTTTGCAACTTCAGTTGCTGTCTTTGATGATTTACGAGTTATGTTGTGTCCTAAGGGGCAAGTTTGCCCCATGGAAATAAAGACTGTTCTGTGCAAACAGACAACCCACTACACGTGGCAGAGAACACAGCAGCTTAAAGTGAACTCCAGCATGGAGACAGGAGCCCTGCTGAAGGGGCTGGAGGTGCTGCAACAGCAGGAGTTCCAGAGGAAGCAGCTGCAGCAGTTAAGGGAACAGCAGCAGTGCCTGCAGAAAGAGACAATAGAAGACCTGGAGACGGCTGAATTCCCAGGAAGAGCATGAAGAAAAACTTGGTGTGCTAGAGATGAAGCTGCTGGAAGCCACTGCTGAGAAAACATAATTCACAAAGAAATTCACATCCAGGGAAATCCTCAGGGAAGCAGGCCATGCAGGGGAAGAAGGAACAAATAAAGGTTGTTCGGCCACTAACTGAGCTGAAGTGAGCCAGCTATGGTCAAGGTTCCAGGAAAAAGCAGACCTAGCCTCCTTGTGCGAAAATGAAGCCAGGGAACTAAAGGAGATGGCGGACCAACTGAACCCTGAAAGTAAGGATCTGTGAGAGAGGAATACGCAAGCAATAGAAGTGTCAGCTACAGTTGAGAGAGCATTGGAGGAACAGCTGTGTGCTGCTGACAGAGCAAGCGAAGAGACAGAGCAGCACCTGGGTGCGATCTGTGCTCCCACCCAGCAGACATGGCTTCCTGTTTTTCCAAGGTCACTGTCCCCTTCCAGCAGACCTACAATGAGGGGCCATGAAAATTTCAGGACAAGGTTCTGGAAGTGGTGAAGCAGCAGGTGAAGACTGGGTCGCTTGATTCAGCACTTAGATTACAACAGGCAAAAGAAGCTCAGAGCCTTTTACGAGCACAGCATTAGCAACACTGAGCCACTCTGTCTGAGGCAGAAGGAATCCTTCAGGCACTGCAGGAGAGCTTGGAAAGAGGGGAGCAGGTGTGGAGAGCTAACAGTATCTGAAGAGGAGTTTCAAAGGTCCCAAGTCTAAATACAATCTTTGAAAGCATAGCTAAAGGCGCACTTGGAGATGTCCAGTCCTGAATGTCACAGCTACCTGAAGAAAGTAGAGGCATTGAGTTAACTCTTCGCTGAATCCCAGGCACAGTTACAGGCAGTGAAAACAGAACCCCAGCAGACCAAAGAGGTTTAGGAGTTGAACAGGCAATTGAACCTGGACCTTTGGGGTGTGGTGCAGAGATTAACCAGCTGAAGGGGAGACCGGGCAAGAAATGGAATGCTTCAATCTGAAGTTGTAGGAATAACACACTCGAGTCAACCAAAAAATAGAAGGACTGAGTTGTGGACCTGGCAAAACTTACTACCCAACATGAGGACTCTTGAGAGGAGAGACTTGAGTTGTCAAAGCAGGTGGACAGATATGGAAAAGAAAGTTCCTTTGCTAAACCACACTTATGGGGGAAGGTCACAAGAAACCTAGAAGGTTTGGGCTAGTTACCCACAAACTGGGTCTAGCTACAGGAGTAGTGCTCCTGGAGGCAACCAAAGATGACACGGGTATTGTAGAAGCCCTAACTCTGGTGCAGCCTCAACAAGAAGGGCAGCCAGAAGAAGAGGGGACCGTGATGGTGTCCACCACAGCTATGAATGGATAAGAGACAGACACCCAGAATGGGGGTTGTGAGGTTAGGACAGAGGAAGAAACCCCAAGGAAGACAACAAAGGTCCTGAAGGAAGAAATAGGTCAATTGGCCTGAGAACAAAGAGAGTCCAAGCCCACATTAAAGGGCCAGGACTCAGACCAAGGAAGAAGTGGAGCCCACCAGAAAGTGGACAGCCCACCCCCCCGGAGTCCATATATGCCAATCAAAAAGGCATGGGGTTGTGGTCTTTAATGGTGGGGTTTATGGGCAATGGGTGTGTCCCATTTTTGCCCCAAGGAAATAAAGACGGTGATGTGCAAATTGTCAACCTACAACAAGCAGTTTTTGTGACTTGATATCAAGAATGTTTGACCCCTATCTGCTTTAGCTGCAGTGCTGTCACTTGTTCAGCTGCACCCTGCGGGTCAAGGGCTATATAATATAGTTACTATTTTTTCTAGTGTTGACAAGACCTAGCAGTTAGTGGACTGTCCTGTCAGTCATTGAACAGTCCTGCTTGAGACAATAGACCTCCACACCACAGAGCCCTTCACTGTGCCTTTAAAGAACAATTTATCCTTGTGATACAAGGTAGTCTTGCCTGAAGATTCACTTGTTTTAGGTGTTTTTTCCAGTCTTTTCCCTCAGCAGGAGATTCCACTTTCCATTAGTAAGCAATCTTATTTTAATTATTCTGGTTTAACTTTGTCCCAGTTCCGGTGTAGGATTGATTATAAGTAGGTTATAATTGGCCTGACAAAGAGTATTTGTACCCAAAAGCTTGCAAAAAAGAATTTTTCTAACTATTTGAGTTGGTTTAATAAAAGATATCAGATAAAGAGCCTTGTCTGCCTGTGTCCTTAGATCAACACAGCTACAACCTATACCCCTATAATTAGGTTATGCATTTAATTTTGTTTTATATTCTTATTTGTAGTTATGGGTATAAGCAGTTAAGTGCTTGAGCATCTTAACAATGGACTTGATAGACAAGCAAGACTAAAACATACAAAGATGTCTGAAACTGAGAATGAGATTATCCTTATTTGATATACTTGCCCCTCTCTGCACTAGTTAGTTATGCTATCCAATAAGTAGCCTTCCTGAAGGGAAGGTAGGGGAGTAGCCTATGTCTGCTGCTTTACTTGTGTTGGCTTATTTTATCACTTCCTGTGAAAGGACTATGTGGCAACATGATTATGTTGGCAGTTCGAAGGCAGCTACACAAACTGTAAAAACTGAACAAAATGTTTTCTTTCTTTTTCATCCCAGGTGCAAACAGAGACCTTACCCTCCCCAGAGAATTTTATGATCCTTCCCCAGATCCGTAACAAGGTAGTGCCACTTAAAAACATTACTTTAAAAGTAAAGCATTCCCATAGGCAAAAACACACAACCTGAAACATTTGCTACATTGATTTAATAAGTTAAATTTGACAAAAATATCATGGCATGCATATATGCTTAGTGGCACTGGACATCTGGATATACCTTACTCAGCCAGCAACAGGGAACAGGATTAGCCCTTGTGATCATGGATATAGTACAATACAGTAAAGGAATATGAGTCAAATTACAGAAGTTGTACTTAGGTTTTATTCAAATAAACTTCTCATTGATTTCAATAGACATTTCACTTGATTAACAGACAAATAAAAAGATTCTTCTATCATTTTCCAAAAATGAATTCAGTGGAATTTGTGACACAATAAGGGACTACTCTGCGTGAAAAAGGTGTCAGAATTTGGCCTTTAACATTAGAATCTGTAATAATTTTTTCACAGAATTTTGTTAATTAAAGTTTTGCATTGTAAAATTGAAGCTATATGTACAGTTCACATGGTTAAGCGTTGCAAATTTTCAACATTCAGACAAACCTGATTACCTAAGGAAGATAGAAATATGGCTGAGGAGTGCACTTTACAGTATAAATTCTGATAGCAGTGATGGGAATATGAAAAAAACTCCAGTCTTCTGGATGCCAAGAATGCAGGGCATGGCAGAAAAACAAATCTTGATTAGAGCACTACATAGAAACATGTATCTTGTGTAAAACCATTCCCTTGGTTTCTTGCTGTGAACATAAATTATCTTGTTAAACATTACTCTTTCAGGAAGCATAAATACCAAAGATATTTGAGAAATTACCTGTCTTTTAAAGTTCAGCCTTTTTTTGACAAGAGTCTCTTTTAGATGCTTTCATTTTTTCCCTTTTTTGCTTCCATTGTAGGTGTGTTAATCTAGTAATATTTAATTGAAGATCTTCCATACTGTTCTTACAACCTCAGCTTATAGAATTAGTATTTTAATATTTTTTTCTGTAACAGGTAAGACCTCTCTAAATTGATCTCCTTTCTTTAGTAAGTAGTTGATAAAATAATTAAGAAAAAGCTTGACTCAACAATCCATCATCTAACATATTATTACTTATGCAAACATTCCCTGACTCTTGTATTTCATTTGTGTGCCATGTAGCTGCAGTTTTTGGCACTTAAGGCATGTGCACACATCCCTGGAACTGGATCCACAATTACATGGCTTACTTGAAGCTGCATGATTGTAGATTGGGTCTCCACTTGTGCACATTTTTGCTGGTGCCGAGAGCTATTCTGAGAATGTGCTCTAAATAAGTTGGGGTGGAGGGAGGGGTGGTGGGATTGGGGAGTCTAGTTGGTCCACGGTGGGGTTTGGCAGATCCAGGGATGGATTGGTGATACGAGGGGGAAGGATCTGGCAGGTCTATGGGGGGTGGTCCTTGGAGGGTGCTGGGGCGGGGGGAGGGGGGGATGTCCATCCATGGGTGTGGGGATGGAGGGCTAAATATAGCCTAGTCAAGGTGGGGACAGGGAAGGAAAAGCACAGCCTCAGGGCTGGGGTTGAGTGGCTGGGCTTTCCTAGGACCAGGGCTGATCTTTGAATGTACTCATATGTTCAGTTAGTTTGAGCATGGGTTAATCCAATATATATAGCGCAGCTTCTCAGGTGAACTAAGGTTGGGTTGGCCATTTTTTGTCTGATCTGAACTCTCCAACCATATGTATGGTTCAGCACTTAGATTGACCTAACCCTAGTTTGATTGATCTAAGTGTAATATCTGCACATACTTTTATTCACAGTTTGCAATTCAGCTCTTTTTCACAAGCCCATGTACACCTATTGAATGTGCTCAGTAGAGGTACAATCTATTTAGGCACTTGCCTAGTCACCCAATAACTTAGTGGTTTGGACTTTTGCCTAGGCAACAGGAAACTAGGAGAATGAAAGGGGCATACTGTCTGTTACACATACACCTTCTGCCTCTGGCCTTGATCATACACAAACAGGGGAAGGATGGTTGTGTAGAGAAGGAAAGCAACCTCCTGTACACAACCTACCCTCTGCTTAGCCCAGCATCAACTTTGCTATGGTTTTGCTTCCTTTTGGGTTACATTTGGTTTGGGAGAATATAGTCCAAAGATGGGATCTGCAAGACTATTCTGATTTTTAAAAAGGAAATATTTCCAGGACATCCACCTACAAGGCAGACAGATGAAAGGGGTCCAGTGGGAGATTTTTAGAGCAGCTGGAGATGGGTAAGATATGCAAGTTGTTTGAATTGCTCCAGCCCCTGGAAGCTTTGGAGTTTTGTGCAGATGCAAAAAGACTTTGACTCAGTGTTCTCTTAATGCCATATACTTAATATGAACTTGAGTAGTGTAACTGTTAATTCCCCCTCAAAGGAAGTGTCAGGTTATCAACAGAGGATGTGAGCATGTTAGATGTTAATTCTATAAAATAAACTCTTCATGTCAGCTGTTTTCTTAATTCATTTTATATTATGTTTCTTTGTTTCCTTGTTTTGACACAGATATTTATTGCATTTCTATGTATTTATTTTACACTTTTCCCTTGTTTGATATTCTTTTTCCCTTTGATTACATTATGTGTATTCCTATAGCACATCAGAAAATAATATATAATGACAGATATTGGCCATCTAGAGAACCTTCTTTACACACTCTTTTCTTAGCCTTTTTAAATGAACTAAATAAGCTAAGTAGACTAATACAGATGATGTGTCAAATATAGTTAATTCTAGAAAGAGGCATATAGGGAACATGAAACAGACAGTCTCTATAAATCAAAGCCAGTAGCCAAATAATATCTCCTGTAAACTCAGAACAAGGTCCAACATGCTGTAAAAGACTCAAGAATTATGTGAATTTGAAGCCTTACCTCCTTTTGTGAGCTTCCTGGGATCTAAGGAGTCCTATGGTAGGAAATGTTTGGGTGTACCTTGCTATCATACACTTCAAACAGTAATAGGGTATAACAAATGCTTTTGTACCAGAGAAATTTGTGATTATAATCTAAGTGATACATTGATGTAGGAACAGTTGTTGATCATGAAATACCAATAACTGTGAGAGAGTTCATGATAAATAGATAAATCTAAATCTGAGGTTGTTATAGGAAGCATGACGTTTAAACCATCTTGTCATTAAAGTGATTTGATTATGTCCCTCAGCGGGTACCCTTTTATCAAATATTTGCTTTCAACAAAGACAGTAAAAATACTGGATTCAATCCTACAGGTTATCTGTGAATGGAACTCTTTGTGAAGTTGTTGGTAGTGCCATGCATGGAAAGTTTTCAGGACTGGACCTTTTACATTATGCACATCTCCTTCTTACTGTGTGGTTAATTAGACTGTAGATTCTCAATGTTGTGTGAACAAGTTCAATGGAGTTATGACCATCTTCCTTTGTCTTATAGCTAAATGAAACAGATAGTCTCCAAAATGTTGATGACATATGGAGTCACAGTTTGGAATAGTTTGAGAGCCACTGTACTGGATGGAATTGTATTCTTACTAGGCTTTGGAATAATTTTGGACTATATAAATATAGTCAGCATCATTATACTCTTACATATTGCTTTGTCCAATATCCCAATTTCCTGTGCCAGAATCCAACTGCTTCCTTTTGTAAGTTTACAAATCCTACCTCCTTTTGTCCCTGTACAATGAATAGAGATAGAAGCTCCACGACACAAAAATTCTCAGGATGTTTCCTGGTACAGTTACAAATATGAGAGATGCAACTTGGAATGTCAAGATCAAATTCTGCTCATCCATCTTGGTATATTTCTAGAGCAACTACAACTGAGTCAAAAGTAGAAACAGAATTTGTCTTTCATTTATTTATTTCTTGTGACCAAGTTATATAGCCTTCAGAATTTATTCTTGAAAATGAGTTCCCCTGTGTTAAGAGAAAAAAAAGACATAAACCATGCCTAGTAAGGGATCCAGTGGTGTTATATAATGAGTCACTAGGTTGCTATATGTAATGGAGAAGACCAATTGCTAGAAAACTTCCCCTTTCTTCCTTAATACAGAAAAGAAATTAACACAAAGTAGTGTGAAATTTTATTATTTTCTTTATGAGTTCTGGATATTAATTGCATTTCACAGTTTTATTTTTTAATTCAGTTATTCAAGTATGTGTAATTTGAAATATATTCTTCTTTCCAGGAGGAATATCAAGGGCCTGGAGCGATTCAGAGTAGGGGCTACTTTATTTTCAGGGTATGACTGTTTGGTTTTTTAATTTTCAAACGCAGCTTTATTACATTGTGAGAAGTACCATACTTGGTATTAGTGAATATATGCTAATGGAACTTGTTTCAGGAGCAAGGACTTATTATAACTGAGGTTCTATCAGCATTCCTATCCACCTATCATCTTCAGAAATGCTTAACACTTTCAATTTCCATTGAACTCAATAAGTGAAATCTACCAGAAAGAGAACCCGTGTTTGTAAAGTGATTAGTGCAACTGTTGTATTGGCATGGTTTGAATTATGGGAGAGCTCAGGGGGTTAGGCCCCCCATAAGAAACAAAAGCCCCCCTGTAAGATCTGAAAATCATAGCCTGAAGGGGTCTCCAATTTTATTAGGGTGTCATGATGGGCAGCCCCCTTTTTTTTTTTTGCAGGCCCCCTCAAGAGTCAAAGTGTAACTCAAACCCTGCATATTGGAATTGCTGGGTGCTACTGCAGTGTAAATATTGAACAACATAATAGACAGAGTGTGTACTGAGGACTTCTCAAATATAGCTAGCAATGTTTGTAAATATTTAACCTGATTCAGTGTCAGCATCTTGACATGGGAAAATTGCCCCCAAGAAAACAACTAAAAGATTTGATTTACCAAATGAAAAAAGAAATTATCGTAAAGTTTCCTACCAGTAATACAGTAAAAACATTTTTATGCAATGTTATTGCTTATTCTGAATAGATGTGATACCATGCTATTTCTTAATAAGCTATTGATTATCACATATAAAGTCCTTGAACTAAAAAGGATTTAGAACCCATGATAGACAGGCATAAATTATGCTTGTCTATCTTATAGGCTTTGTTCAAAATTGCATTTCCATATTATACATAATAAATGCAGTGATATGCTTTGTTCTAATAATTTATATATTCACCAGCCTCACTCTACACTTGATTTTTCTACTTTTGTCACACTTTGTTTTGTTAATCATACTTCTGTAAAGCGGTTATAAAAACAATCTCATCAGAATGCCCGTTCTCCATCCATAACTCATGCTGTTGAGTTTTTATTGTTCTTTTTTAGCACGAAGGATTAAGCTAAAGATAATTAGATGTAACATTTTATATTGACTTTTCCTAGTTTTTGTCAACTTTTTAACATTGTCTTTCTAGTTAAATAGAAAACTATCTGGCAGAGGGGGTGCATATTTTGGATATTTGTTTCTCATGCATGAAACTTCAAGTTTCAGCATTATCTTAATAGGCTAAATTCAGAGCAACAATAGCGTTTTGGAGAGGAAGAATCAAACCTAGAATTTCTCAAAAGTTTTCTCTTCAGCATGAATGTTGGTACTTTGGCTTCCATTCTTGATTTTCCCTTTTCAGTCTGCTCCTCTCTAATTTCCTTCCATGTTTCTTTTTCTTCATTTGTGCATCCCATTCTTTCTTACCTTCTTTTTTATGTTCTTTTTCCCTCCCTGCTTCCTCTTTTCTCCAATTTTTGGATGGTTCCTAAATCCTTTAATCTCTTTGTAAATAATGTAGTTTAAACTACTTTAAACAGTACAGTTAATGTTTTAAACAGTACGTTTGAACTCTTATAAACAAATCTAATACTCTACAAAGTAATCTGTTTGACATTGCAATTAATTTTAGACATCATATACACATAATTCCAGTCAACCTTCAATTCTGCCCTCTTGAACCTTTGATCAAACTCCATGCCAGTCCATAAGCTCCTGTCCTTAATATCCAAAAAACCCCCATGAGAAAACAGGTGAATCTTGTGCAGTGTCTTAAAGCCACTAAATTGAAACTCTAAAAGACAAGGTAGTGATTCGAGTTCCAAGCCAACAATGTCTCATGATAATGCCTTACTGCCAGACCAGGTGAGCAAAATATGGCCCACAGGCTGGATCCAACCTGCCAAGGGATTTTATTCAGCCTGCAGCAGGTCCTTTGGCTGCACCTGGTCCAGACACAGGGGGCAGTCTGGGCCGTGGCGCATGCAGCCAGTTCTGCCACACATGGGCACGCAGCAGGGCTGCGGCAGTGCGGCTGGACTCGCTTCCTGGCAGCCCCGGCAATGGCAGCTCCTTCCAGCTGCCGCCACCACCGGCCCCAGCCTGTCTGCCCCATACCCACCACTGGGGGTGGGACCCACACAGGCAGGTTGCATGGCTGGGATGGGGCTGCAGGCAGGCAGGGAGCAGTGTCCAGGAACAGGGCAGGCAGAAGGGGCCAGGATCATGTGTAACAATGCAAGGCAAGGGCCTGGAGCACAGCCACAATCTGCAGCCTGCACATCCCTATGACAGGTGCTGTTTCAGGCCATGCAGGAAGTGGATGATGGCTTTGCCCTGTGTCCCAGGCCCGCACTGTCACCACCTAAAGATCTCAGACCTGGTCCCACTCCCAGACATTGCTCCCTGCTTACCTGCCTATGGCCCTATCCCATCTCTCTGGCTGCGTGCCCTGCCCTCCAGGGTCCTAGCTGGTCTCCATGGAGACCCTGGGATCACAGGGCGGTGAAAGTGCAGGGCCTAAGTCCACAGCAGAGCAGCAATTTGCTCCCTACATGCCCCTCCATGCCTGTGGAACTGGTACCCATTGCAGGGGCATGCAGGGAGCGGACCATGGCTCTGCCCTGGGCCCTGGTCCCACCCTGTCATGGCCCCATGATCCCAGCCCCACCTCCCTGGCCCGCTCCCAGACTCTGCTTCCTGCTTGCCCATGGCTCTGTCCCAGCCGCCCAACAGAACATGGAGAGAGCCCCTTAGGGTAAGCTATGTGGCTGGGGGTGGAAGCAGGTAACCTGGCCTGCTATAGCTCACCAAAACTCCCTAAGTGGCCCTCAGGCCCAGATAATTGTCCATCCCTGTGTTACACCCTTTCAATTAATTGTGGATTTTCTACTCAAGTCCTAGGACCTGAGTGTTTTCTAATACATGAGCTCAAAGGTTGCGTGTGCTCCCTGATGTATAAAAGTTGAACTATTCAGGGTTTTAAAGGGCCAAAGCCAACAACACCTTGAGAGTCATGTTTAGTCCTTGCAGAAAAGATGCCTCCATCTTCTTCCCCTTGAAGATGTATGCAGGACTTGGCACAATGCAGCCTGCAACACTTATCAGTTGTAATTTTACTGCATAGTTGATTTGCAGAAATGGACAAACATTGTCCAATACTTTAACAAAGATATCTTAATTTTAACTGAGACATTATCTGGTAAAATATATGGGACAAATCAAGGAATCTAAAATGCAGTAGGTATTGGATTATCTGGGGCATTACTTAAACACCAGTCTGTTTTATAGTGTTAATTTCTTATCAGATATTGTTATTTTCTAGCCACGCAATGGAAGGAGATCAGCAGGTTTCCGCTAAAAAGGTATATATTTCATATTTTTAATGAAGACCTATATTCAAATCCTGTTCCTTTTTATAGTGAAACCAAGATACATATTTGAAAAAATATCCATTAATTTGGGATGCTGAGATTTTTGAATAGCCAACTTGAGATATCTATAATTTTTTTGGGATCAGGGTCAGAGCTCTTGGTACCTGCCCATCAACTTGAAGGCAATGGGAGCTGCAGATGCTCAACACCTGTAAGAATTAAGCCAAACGTATTTCAAGCAGTTAAAAAGTTGGCACGTAAAAATCTCTAGTTTATCACTAGTAATAAGTAAATTTCTAGCATGTGAACAAGGAAGCATCTAGCTTAATGTTGGAGCTGAAAATCAATTTGGTAAAGATGGGGTCACCTCTGTTTGAAAATTTGTGATCTTTACAAGTTTGATCCAGAAATCATTAAAAGACTTCTGTACACAGGCAGAATTCACACTGAAATTAAGGATTTGAGGATTGAACCCCAAATGATTCAGCTCATGAGAAAAAATCTTGGGAAAGTACATGCTACATTTTCTTTGCCCCTGTTGTGAAATGATGTGTTTTTAATTTAGTGTTTTTTTAAAGCTGTTACATTATAGACATTTAGCATAGCATAATAGAAGCATATCAACAACTAATGTTTTGCATTATTTTCTTTCAGAATTTTTGATTCCTGACCTAGAATCACTGCTGTGGGAACACAGAATATATGGACAAAATGGATTCCCTCACAAAAATTACTCTTTACCATTTGTACAATTCTTAAAAATCACTAGAATGTAAATGTTCCTAAATTTAGATTTGGTTAAGATTGCAAATGTTTCTTTAATTTCTTGACTGCATTAAAAGCATCTTAAAATTACTGATTTGTTTCTAGTGTTATTTTGTTATTTATGCACTAAGTAGAGAGTTGGTTTTAATGAAGAATTCTCTATTTTACATAATACATTTGAATGCTTAGATTATTTAGTACAACTTAACTGGTAGAAAATACAACTTAAATTATTTTGTAATATAATATGTTATACCTAATCTATTAGTTTCTGTGCAGATTTATACCAACAATATAGGCTTATATTTGTACATTTTATTCTTTATACATGTTGATACTTTGAGTAACTCCATTTTAACTGAAGGGCTTATACCTTTTAATATCTGTCAAGGAGGAAAATCAGTTCCTGCAAACACTCACATGTACAAGCTATATAAAAGCTATTCCCCTAAGACAGGAGTGTTCAGCCTCCACCCCAAGGGTTAAATGTGGTCTGCAGAGCCATCACATCTGGCCCACAGGGCTCCCCATGAGCTGGGAAATTTGGCAACAGGAGAGCAGTGGCCACCCTCCCTCACTCCCAAATTGCAACACTCCCTCCCGGAGCACAGCAAGGTCAGGGCTGGGCTGTGCCCCTTTTCTTCACTGCTTTTCCCCATTTGGCCGAGTTGTGGCCCGTCACCCCCACAGGGCTGGATCTGGCTGGCTGCTTCCTGACCCCCTTCTTGCACCCGGCTCAGGGCCGCTGTCCACATCTGACTAAGGTGGCCATTCATCCAGTTTCATAGAGGACAGTCTGGTTTTCTGGTCCTCTGTCCTTTATTGATATGAAACTGGATGCCTTTAGGTCCTCTAGTTTTCACCGCTTAGCACACCCTTCCCTCCCTCTCCCCACAGCCGACACCACTTGGCCCGCCCCTGCCTCCGACACTGTTGCAGATGTCTTTGGGAGCTCCTTGCTTGCTGCCACAATACCCCTGCTGCCGCGACGGCCACCCCTGCCTCGGGAACTCGCCATGCCCCACCCAGTCTCTGGAGGCATGCAACATTCATGGTGGTGGGGACAGTACCTCGATGGCCACCCTACATCTAACCCATGGACAGACTGGGCACTACCTATATGGCCTGCCAGGGAAAAAAGGTTGAGCATCACTGCCCTAAGACGTCCTTGCCTCTTGCATAATTCCTGGGCCATCGCGGCTACCACATCACTCTTAGGTCCCTACCACGCATTCAGATTAACTGAATAGAAACCATATATAAAGCTGTTGCGTATTTTCCAAGCACTGTCTTGGTAGCTGCTTGGCTTTTTTATAGCTGGATGGATATTTTTATGGAGCGACTGTTACTTTTGCACCAGTTAATTGTGTCATGCACATAAGGTGTGGCGGTGGGCGGGGAGTCTCACACTACCAGGGGCTTTATTCAAATGCTCAAATTAATCTGCTAGGCCCACATCTCCCTGCCAGGGCTGGGAACCAGCCCCCTTTTGCTGAGGACACGACACAACAGCTGCGCTGGCAGCTCTCACTGAGCCATTGCAGCCAGCAGTAGGCATTGGGTTGCTAACAGCAACCTGCCCTGCTGAGCCCCTCTTAGCACCTTTCCCTGCCCCATCTTTCTCTTGCACCAGGTTACACCAATGTTGAACAAATTCTTACATAACATTTTTCATATTGAGACAGCTCTCAGTGTCTACGTATAAAGATTTTGAACAGAAACAAAATATTGAAATATTTTGCTTCTGCACTGAACAAAAGAGGACCCTTTTTTTGGTTTGTTCTTTTAAGTGAAACCATATGAAAGAAGGACTCTAAAAGCATTCAAGGAAGCTGAAGATGGGTTTGAGGAAGGGGATGTAAAAGCTGTTGAACTGGTTAGGTGTAGGAAGATGTTATTGGAGCAGCCACGTGAGAGAGGGCGCAGCCCTTGTCGGCGTCCCGCCCTAGGTGCTAGGGCTGAGATGGCTGCGCCCCAGTGTGCTGCCGCCAGGGGCGCCCTCATGGGGGCAAACCATTCCTTCACGCGGGGGGGGCAGACAGTTGGGTCCTATGGCGCGAACGACGCTGCCACCGCCTTTATTAGCAAATGGATCCGCCCGGCGGCAGTTGGCATCCCGGGCGCGGGTGGCCCAACTGTCGCTGCGGGCGGGAGCGGCGCCATGCAGGCGAGCGGGGCGGGGGCAGCGGCCGGGGCTGGGGCCGGGACTGAGA